AAAAAAAACGAAATCAACCAACGAAAACAACTAACGTGCGACTGGCCGGGGAGAAATGTTTAGCCAAACAACTCTCATTTTCCTGTAATGAGTTCAGACTTCATTGAGTGCTGTGTTGCGATACAGGGATACATTTGAGCCCCAGTTTTTTTAATTTTGCTAACAGCTATATTTTAAGTTTTTTTTTTTAAGAATAGACTTGGCAGTTAAAAGAAATGAAAAAGCAACTTGGAATGTAGATTTATTTCATCTTCATACAAGTTTGGCACAATGCCAAAAGGGGGGAGTGGGGTGAGGGTGATCTTACACTAAGTGTTCTAAACCTATCTCATCAGGTTCACGACCCATTCATTCATTCATTCATTCACAAGTAGTCATCCATATCCATTCAATCAGGCAATACCACATATTCACAGGGATCCTACAAAAACATACATGACGTAAACATTTAATTCAAAAGAAAAAAGGATATTTTTTCTTCTTCTTCTTCTTTTTTTTTTTTTTTTTGAGGGGATTAAACAATTTTTTTATGAAAATTTAATTACATGAAATGGAGGGAGGGGATGAACCCACAAACAAAGCTAAAATATATTAAAACATATATTAGTAGGACCCGTCCAACCAACAGAAAAATAATAGCGGCCACTGTATTCTGCCAATGAGAGGAATCAAGAATTAAGCTCACAAAAGCAACTCGAAATGAAAAAAAAAGCCAATTGCAAATTTCGTAGCGCTAAGCTTTCAAATGGAACCCAATTCGTTACTTATAGCCTGACAAACCTGCTTGTAGGTCATCAGTATTGGAAGAACAAGCAAGTGAATAGTAATATGTGGTCACTTTTTATTTGCTACCAATAGTAAACACATCTCCTATGTTTTATCTAGATGCAATTTATTTGTCTACTAAAATAAAACCATACTTGTAGGTAGAGTTGCCAAACTGGGAAACTTCTAAAAACTACGGTGCTGCAAATCATTTCACTCCGTTCTAACCTTTGGGTGTTTTCTTTTTCAAGCTGGACCCACTCACAGGACAGGTCGTAGGCAAAAGAGACAGAAATAAGCAATGAATAACCCACCTAGAGAGCCTGAGTAAATGGTTAGAAGTACAGGAATACCAAAAAGACAAACCTTTCTAAGAGCTGCAAAGGACATGATGTTGTGGAGAGCCATAATCGTCCTGAAGGGAAACAGAAGAACATTTATTACTAATTAAAATAACATTTAATGATACTCTACTTTCAATTGTACCTAAATTCGCTAATAGTATCCCACTCTGGCAAACCTAATTGCTTGTATCACTTTTGCCTGAACTAATCTTATCAATCAATGGACATATTTACAATCGATTTTCCGGCAGTTGATGATCCTGAATTTCTTGTCAGTCGAACAAAATACAAGCAAGAATTTGAATTATACGCGATCACCAGAAGAATTCCCCAAAGTAGCCAAAAGTGGCATCGTATTAAATAATGGTAGATTGAGTGATTTGTTTTTGTGGATTATCTTCCCTTTTGTCGGTTATTTAAAGCCGATACATATTTTGCATTGAAAGAATAACTCTTTTTTTTATTTTTACTAGGGGATGTTGCATGAATGAAACAAATTCCACTGGTATTCGAACTCGGCTCTCCAATTTCTCATTCCGAGACGCCACAGATCCCTTATTTAATAATCAGTCAGTCAGTTATGTGCCATGCGTTATAAATGCTTAGGCGATCAGGTATTTTTTGATTCTTGACTAACGAGGCAGATTTTTCCCCGCAGTAGGTTGCTATTTCTTTCTGCGGTAGACCAGTTGCCATCCAAGGTTATAGAACCCGGTCTGTCCTGCTATTTACCCATAGCTTGGGGGAGAAGTAGAGGATTCATACCTTTCCCTAGGGTATTAGCACGTAAGTGAATGTAATGGATTCAAATGAAATTCGAACTCGGCACTCCGAGTCGCTATCCATTACTCCACCGTGCATTTAATATAATTTTCTAACATTGAATGAATAGGTAGGGTTAGGAGAAATGCGTAATTAGTGGGTCAAAAGGGTATTAATAAATTATTATGTGATTTCTCTTGGTTAAAATAGTTAATTCGGCATGTCATCTAAAATGCATTGAGATAGTATTTGCCTTTCTTGGAACAGATTAGAATCAAACTCACTATACTATAAATAGTCTTTAAGACTGGCTGGATGAATAAGTGCTCTATGAATCACCGATCTTCCGTTAAATTGTCTCTAGAAACGTTTCAGATTATTTATTCCCAAACGGATGCCTCTTAATAAAATTTCAGTAATATACCTATGACCACTATGCCGCGACCAGTATGCCGCGAAATATTGCTACGTGCGTGTGGGTGTGTGTGGAAGTAGTCATGGGTACAGCGAAAGACTACGCTCAACTGAAGAAGAAATGAGGGTCTGCATATCACATATTCGACCAAACATTAAAGAAATCTCGAAAAAAAATACCAGGCACAAATTTCATACTAAATAAGCTGCACAAAGACTTGAACAGAAACATTGAAATAAAGTAAATTCGTATTTTTTTGTGTATTTTTAAAATCAATGGTTTTATTTCATAACATTTAAATGTATCCCTTTTAAATATTTGACTCTGTGGGCCATGATATTTTCATTTGCTTCTAGGTGTGCTTAAAAAGGTAGAAAAACACTGCTCTACAGCATCATCGACTGGATATAATCTGTTATTTATAAAATAGAGTGAGGTAATATTTTATGTGCTACAGGCCATGCAAATTAGAACATAAGAGCCATATTCTTAAAGAAAATTTTCTTAGAGTTAAATCTAATATAGAGCTAATATTTAAAAGTATATCTGATTATCATAATCATCATAATATATAATAGGAAGTCAAACACACAATTCGTAACTTAACACATCTTGATCTAAAAGTATACAAAAGACATGTATTCAGTCCACATCTAATCAGTAGCAGTTTTTAAACGTCAGCATCAATTTTACTGGGATATGCTTTTAGAAACCACAATGATATTATTATGATATGAGCTGAACTAGCTCAATTTCTACTGGTGTTGACAACTGAAATTATCCACTGGGCGTTTCGTCGAGGAATAATGGATAAAGAATCATTACTCTCATATGACAGTTAATGCTGTAAAACCTCATCACAGATGAAGAAAAAAGCAGCAGAAATTTGGTTCTACAGAAAGATGCTGAGAATACCATTAACCGTAATATGTGAGCAACGATTTTTAAAGAAAGTGGAAACAAAAAGAGACAGTGGAAACATCTGGGACACTTAATGAGAAAAGACATGTTGTACGTATCGAAAGCAAGAGACACATAGGAAAACAGTGCATAACATATCTAATCATCATGTGTAGATTTGATGGTAGAGCAGGTTTTAGGAGATATAGAAAAAAATGTACTAAATGCTACAAAGGACGTAATTATGGTGGCACAGAGGATAAAAACGAAGAAGGTTGTCTATTATTACTGGGCAGTGAGGTTAATCCTCACTATATAGCACATATTTCTGGCATTGTTTTCGCCGTCCAGTTGGTTCGTGGCAAGAATATGCTGATTGCATTCCTGTGTTGAGGAGTAACCCCCCCCCAAAAAAAAACAAAAAAAAACGGACAACTATTTACAATATCTGGATCAACATTTTGGACTCTCGTGCAAACCAAACCTATATTTGTTTACCTTTTGAACTTTTGTGGAAACCAAACCTATATTTACCTTTTGGATTGACGTGTAAACCAAACCTATGTTTATTTTTTGGTCTCACCTGCAAACCAAACCTATTTTTACCTTTTAGACTCTCGTGAAAGCCAAACCTATGTTTATTTTTTGGACTCTCGTGTAAACCAAACCTGTTTTTACCTTTTGGACTCTCGTGCAAATCATACCTATTATTTTTTTTATTTATCAAAACGTTAATTCGTCGTTAAATAACCTGGAAATATCAATATGCCGTTAAGTAGCCAAAACCAAACTAAAACTTGTTTCAAGCTATGCTTGGTGAATGTTTCTCTCACTGGGTGTCCTATATTGACAGTTGTGTGCTAAGGTTGATTATACTTTTTATTAAAAAGACACTTGACCAACATGTGGCGACGTCATAAGGGCTCTATTTAAAGATATTTAAGAAACGGTGATTTTAAGCAAAGAAAAAGTGCAAATGGAAAAAATGAAGAAATTAAAAAGAAAAGAGAAAGATTAAAATAAATAAGAACAGAATGAAATAGCAAACCAAGAAACAGCAACAACAATATCTTATCAATGTAGCAGATTTCACTTTTTTAGTTGCACTTCAGCCTTGTATTGCAGCAAAAAATGATTAAACATCATCATATGCATCTAATCGTCTCTAACATTTTGCGTGTATCTTCTCATTATCTTCCTTATCTCTTCCAATCGTTATTGACCGTCTATGGTCTTATGTAAATCTTTTACAAACCTGAATGTAATGCATATGCGAAGAAGGAATAATTCACAAATATTTTGAACTGCATCGTCTTTTTTATCAATCTGTATCTCAGCAAAAAAAAAGGTTTTTTATTTAATATAATTTTGGCGCCTATGTTCTTTTTTCCAATATCTCACACAATCTACAGGCAAGCCTGTCTCTCTCCACCGCTTATTCCATCTCTCTATATATTTTTCCATTACACCGTTTTCATTTACCTCATTTTCCATCACCTCATTTTTCCTTTATTTCACTTTTCCTTTACCTCGTTCTCTTTTCCTTTGTCTCATTTTTCCGTTACCTCGTTTTACCTTTACCTCGTTTATCCTTTATCTTATTTTTCCGTTACCTCGTTTTACCTTTATCTCATTTTCCGTTACCTCGTTTATCCTTTATCTCATTTTTCCTTTTCCGCATTTTTCTTTATCTCGTTTTTCCTTTACCTCATTTTCCTTTACCTCGTTTTCTTTTCCTTTATCTCAGTAAAAGGAAAACTTTACTTCGTTTTTCCTTTACCTCATTGTTCCTTAACCACGATTTTTTTTCCTTTATGTCATTTTTCCTTTGGATCATTTTCTTTTCCTTTATTAAACTTTACCCCCTTTTTTCATTTACCTCGTTTTTTTTCCTTTACAACGTTGTCTTTTCCTTTATTACACTCTTCCTTTACCTAATTTTTCATTTACTTCTTTTTTCCTTTACCTTATTTTCTTTTCATTTATCTCATTTTTCAATACCTCGTTTTTCATTTATCTCATTTTTTCCTTTAACTCGTTTTTTTTTCTTTTATCAGAATTTTACTTTACCTGGTTTTACATTTTCCTTTACCACATTTTCCTATTCTCTCATTTTTCCTTTACCTCGTTTTTCTTTTACCTCGTTTCCCCTTATCTCATTTTCGTTCACCTCGATTCCGTTATCTCATTTTTCAGTTACCTCGCTTTTCCTTTATCGCTTTTATCCTTTACGTCATTTTATTTTCTTTACACCCTTTTTGTTTTACTTCCATTTTCATTTACCTCATTTTTCTGTTTTCCTTAATCTTATACTCCTTTACCTCATTTTCTTTTCATTTACCTCTTTTTTCCTTTAACTGGTTTTATTTTCCTCTAAATCATGCTTCTTGTACTTCGTTTTTCCTTTACCTCATTTTCCTTGCCCTCGTCATCTTACCTTCTTACCTCGATTTTCAGTTTCCTCATTTTCCTTTAAATCGTTTTCTTTTCCTTTATTACATTTTCTTTTACGTCGTTTTCCTTTACCTCATTTTTCATATATTATCTTTTTCTTTTCCTTTTCCTTTATAAAACTTTTCCTCCGCCTAGTTTTTTTTTCTTTTAGCCCTTTTACTTTAGTTCTTTGTTCGTTTGCCTCGTTTTATTTTCACTTACAACTTTTTCTTTTACCTCATTTTTCCTTTACCTCGTTATTCATACACCTCAATTAATATTACGTCATTTTCTTTTGTCTCATTTTTACTTTACCTCGTTTTTTCTTTACCTCATTGTCCTTTACCTCCTTTTCTTTTCCTTTATCTCATTTTCCTTTGCGTTACTTTCTTTTCATTTAACTCATTTTCCTTTACCTCGTTTTATTTTTCTTCAGCTCATTTTTGTTTTACCTCGTTATTCCTTGACCTTTTTCTTTACCTCGTTTTCTTTTCCTTTCTCTCATTTTTTCTTTTCCTCAATTTTCCTTTATCACATTTCTCCTTTACCTCGTTTTTCTTTTACCCCATTTTCCTTTACCTCTAGCACGTTTCTCCATTACCTCGTTTCACCGTTACATTCTTTTTCCTTTGCTGCGATTTCTTTTCCTTTATTTCATTTTTCGTTTACCTCCTTTTTTCCTTTACTTCATGTTCCCTTTTGCATCGTTTTCCTCACGTTTTTCTTCATGTTTTCATCTGTTCTGTACGATATGGAGTGACAGATATTTAGCAATGTAACGAGCTATACTCACCTGTTTTGACTGATGCATTGATCCCATCTAAAATAGGTGATGGTTGGTGAGATACTTGTAAAATATTATTAAAGTAAACAATTGACAATTAAGTATGACGGCGAATATATGACCAATACAAATTACTTGTACTTAAAACGTATATATAAAGCAATCAGTAAATGTACATAAATGCGCAGTGCATAGTCTATTAAAAGATTAAATAGACTGGGGCTCGTATTTACACATTGTTGCATTTCTGTTGATGTTTGAAATGTCTCAACGGTCATGTACAATTTTGTGGGCTGATAAAGTTCCTCTATTAGATCGATGCAATCAGTAAACTCGGGAAGTGAAAGGCTATTTTTAAAGGCTGGGAGGACGTAGTCTCTAATGATGTTGTCAGATGCTGCTGTGATGTCGACATAGCAAGTATACATTATTCGATTGCAGTGGTATGCAATTTTCCGGAATTGTTTGGTGACATATATGCAGCCATTACCTCCTTTGCCAGAAGGAAAAAGACAAACTGGGTTGTGAGGATTTGACTTTCATAAAACGATGAGAGCCTAGTTAATATAATGTTCATTAATACTTTCACCATAATGGATCCTATTAGCATACATCTGTTTGTATGTGAGCTTTTATGGCTATATTTTGTTTCCATAGTGCATCAATGCGTGATAAACCCAAGTTTTTTGTTGTTGCATTTCTAATTCCAGACTTCATTATTAAAATTAAGATTTATTGATTTAGGGGAAAAAGTAAGCTATTTTCAAAAGTTTAGATTCGATGACAAGTGATACTTTTTTATTCTTTTTTATTTTAATAGATTTCTTAATTTCCTCATCAGTAGATCCATTATTGTTTATGTTGTGAAAACGACTTTTTAATAATTGGATATATATTGGTATATTTTCTATTTCTGCGGACATCTTTATTGTGGTCAGGGTTGAAATGTGATACTCACTGCTTTTTGTGACCAGGACATTTCTTCCCTGGTAATTTTTATTGTATGATATTATTTTGATATTTCGTCTTTCTCCACATTTTAACACATTTAAATTCTGCTTAACTTCAAAATTTGAAATCTGAGGATCTCCTCGAAAAACTGATTAAAGCATTATTTACAGCTTTTTTTTCCAGCTGTTCTTTTACTTAGAAAATGTTCTTGTATTTGAAAGAAATGATTTCTTTCTGGGCAATAAAATAGGCCATTTTCGGTTTAATATTCTGATTCATCACCGTTGAATCAGTCTAATCCTGGGATCATAACCTATAGAGTGAGTGGGCATGGTTAAATGTAAATAAATGGCAGAACTTCCCAACAAACAGAATTAACAAAGTTAAACAATTACAATAATAAGAAAAAGAAAAGAACAGAGGAAATATATATATATATATATATATATATATATATATATATATATATATATATATAAAGCAAAAAATTATAGGCATGGCATATTAACAGTAATAAGGCAAACAACAGTAATATGGCAAAAGTTCACAAACTAATGTGACGTCGTCCCCTGGTCGCAGCGCCAACTGTGACGTTCTATCCTGATCTACCACGGCACCAGTTGCGACGTCCCCAAACAGCACCAATTGTTTCGTCCTCGCCGCGGCGCCAGCTGTTCGCTCCTCGCTGCTCCGTTCGGGTGTCGCTGCTCCAAACGTGACGTCCGCCTGTCGCGTCAGTCGTATTGTCTCGTCCTGTGACGACCAACTGGCTTGGTATCGGTCGCGGCACCCAAATGTGACGTTCTAACCTTTTGGTGATTCGGGTGGGAATCTGGTTAGATTTGATATCAGCCTCGTCGTTCCCAACTCGCTTCCAACGCCTGGTTACCAAGGTAACTGCATTGATCTCCAGTCTGCCTACCCACGCTGTGAATTGATCTTAGGCAGACGAGATCAATCAGTAGTCGGGGCCGTAATGCAAACTGAGTTCAACGGGGGTGATACCACACAAATATGCATAAAAGAAAAGAAAATGAAAACTCAAAAAGTTCAAAGTATCAAAGAAGAAAGGTAACAAACTTTCTGTCTAGTTGTTCGATACATAGGACTGCATCTATCTCCCGACCCGTTCTGTGGATTGTGACACGTCGATTTCCGTTAGGCAAGTTTTAACGCTTCAAGTTGTTTGCTCTCTAAGAAATTGGTGTTTCGGTGTGTCTTTGGACGAAAGTCGAAAAAACTTATTTCGGTGGTCTGGATCTAAGTCGCTCTTCAAAATAATTGTTCTTGGGTTGAAGAGGAGTCCGGAATTTGCGTGAATCTTGGTCAGCTGAACTCACTGGAACTGCTGGAACTCAACTCTCCACTGGAGCCCGAACTGATTTCTGCTCGTAGGGGCTTCGCTTTTATGGACGCCGACCAAAACCAGGGTGGGTCTGTCGGCGTCGGGGGTTCCTCGATAATTCTAAATACATATCCACCTCTTTTATTTCTGGTTAGGGATTTTCCACTCTTTTCCATTTTTGGGAACCTTTCCTCACTCCCACCTTCTCACCATACTTCAGAGGGGCGTGAACTACCCTCCCCACTTCTTCGTAGCAGCTTCTCATACCTACACTCTGGATAGGCGGCGACAGCCTCCTTCGTGCGTCACGTGATCACCACTTGACCAATGATGTCTTAGTCGGGCGTGGACGAATCCGCGGCTTTGTTTCAGGAAGAAAAAAAAATATCTCACTTAACTAAAAAAAATTATCTCTTCTCTTTCCCTTTTCTTCCTCTTAATCGCCGTTATCATTTTTCTAGCCGCAAAACTTGACAATATGACAATGGCGGTCATAACTCTTGTTCTACACGTGGTTTTTGTCAGGTATTTTATCGCTAATTATCAGAATGGGTGGTCTTCTTAACACGGCCTCAAAAAAGAAACATCTCCAAAGTTTCAGTCAGTCTGTCGCTTCGAAGAAAGAAGAAAAAACACTTCTAGGTCCCCATTCATTTTCTTTCGGTTCAATTTTTCCATATCTACCCAAAGCCCTGTAGTTACACCTGTGTTTTGTCAATTATCAAAATTAACGTTTTCAATTGGACTTTTCTTTGGCGAACATTTCTTAATAACATAATTTTATTATCGCAGGCATAAAGATGTTCTGCGGCAAGAAAATCGGTCAGTGTGGTTACTTCGTGTGTGTCGCGATTAATTTTTCCATATCTACCCAAAGTCCCTGTTTTTCGTCACTTATCGAAATAACATTTTCACTTGAATTTTTCTTTGGCCAGTCGACCAGCCGTCTGTTTACGTACCCCTAGATAACACAGCCGTTATCAAAACACATCTGATTCTTTCCTTCTTTCCCTTTCTTTTTACTCAGAATTTCCCTGTCATTGTAATGACACCCTTTCGCCATTTGTTACTTATCAATATATCCATTGTCTCTTAGCCGTGTGTGTGTTCTGCTGATCACCCACGATTCGTCTCGCCTTTCTTTCTGCCTTCTTTTCTTTCTTTTCCTTTTCTGCCTCGTAAATGGTGCCACACGAAGAATTGGGATTGTCACACAAAAGCAAATTCGGATAAACGAAGGTAGCTTTATGACTTCAACACAAGACAGACGGGACCTATTTTATTGGCCAGGACGAAATCCCAGCATGCATTTGTGTACGTTTGCCTATAAATTGGAGAGGGGAAAACCGGAACCAATATCCCCTTCAATCCAATTGGATTGTTATATTATTTGTTGACCTATTTTATGCTTTTCTTGTTCTTGTGGTTTATTGCAACTTTTGTCAATTTTGTTGGGCAGTTCTGCCATTTATTTACATTTAACCATTGGCCATACATTCTACTTCTTGCATTTGTCATTCTAGAGAACAGCACCATTTCCATTTACTAAAGCAATACACCTTCAATGAAATATTTCACTTACACGGTCAAATTATTACGAATAAGCATCTGTAGCGATACTACTTCCATGTCCCAATTAATCGTAATAGACGGCAAATTTCCCATTTCACCAGACACATACCATGAACATCTGTGGATAGAATCCTGGCTTCGTTATTGATAAATGTTTCTCATTGGTGATAACGACTGTATTTTTTTTACATTTTCTGTTTACATCACCTGTAATTGAAAAATGTCAGGTTGTCATTCCCACTTAAAAGTCTGCTGCAGATGGTAAAAGGTAA